GTGTGGTACTTTATAATAGATGGTCTTATACAAGTTTTGAAGAAAAGGGAGATCAATCTATAGAAGCAGGCCTTATATTAATAAGTATATATTAATAAGTATACTGCAATCATATACAAGTTGCAATGGTACCTATCTATATATTTGTATGTTCTTTTTGGTCTTTTAAAGACAGCGTCACAAGCCTAAAAATGTTTTTAGCTTAAAAAAAGAAGGTGTTTCTCTGGGATGCTCTGTGTCTGCCTCTGTTCAGCTTTGTTCCACACTCAACTTTGCTAAATTCTGAATTTAAATTCTGAATCCTAATCTAGAAATTGCTGGCTATGAAAAGCCTGTTAATTTCTGTTTGTAAAATGTTCTGGTGTAACTTGAATTAAATGTAGTGCAGCTGGGAGTAGTCATGGCTAAACAATACATAGCATAAATTATCTCTATCTAGAGTGTCTGACTAGATAACATAATCAACAGGAGGCTGACAAAACATCACAGCCGCCTGTTGTCGCTGACAACTTCATTATTTCCATGATGTTCAGATGGGTAATTTGTTTCTGAGGAACAGCAACACTTCAGACACGTCCAACAGCCTCATTTACTTTTATAGGCTTCCCAAAGCTGGACGTGTTTGTACAGATTTAGGGGTTTTTCCTAATTTGGGGAACTTCAAGAACCATCAGCAAAGAGCCCTGCTCTGCCTTGGTTTTGCAATAGAGCAGCATTCCCTTCAATCAGAGCTGGTGCACACCTCTTGATAGGTAACAGCAGCTGCTCTTTGATTCCTTGGTTCAAACAGGAAGGGCTTTGAGGCTCTGATGGACTTCTTACACTATTTTATTTCTGTTTACCTTAACTTACACTCCAAAAAGATGCCAAATGACTCTGTAGTTTTGTAGCTCTGACAGCCATGGCCCGATTCTCTTCCACTGCAGCCAGGAATTATTATTCTCAGGAATTTTCCAAGTAAAAAGACTAGCAGGGGTAAAAAAGCCACTGTGAAAAACATGCCATCTTTAAAGAATTCTGACCAAACAGTTCTGAGTTTCTGCAGTTCATTTAAAATATTCTGAAATACAAGCAGCAAGTCCACAGCTGCCACAAAGCTGAGAACTCCTCCCCTCTGCATCCTTCCTCTGGGAGTCTGCAAGCCCCAGATGTTGATGCATCTGCCAACTCCAGCCCTGCAGAGAGCCTGGGGATGCCAGATCCCAGGTTGGGCTGAGGGGACCGTGAGCTGTGGCTGCAGAGGAAGCCTGGGGGATCCAGTTCTATTTGGTCACTTACATCACATTGCCTCAAATATTTCAGAATACTTGGGAAAATTCTTTTCTAAGATTAGCCCAAACACAATTATTTTTTCTTCACTCACAATTTCAGAATTTTTAAAGTTTGATCATGTCTGTGGCTGATCAGCTGGGAAATATTTGTCCTTTTTATAAGCATACTGAATACTTCTGTGTCTCTGTGGATAATAGGTTATTTGCTATGGATTTGGATCAAGAACACAGGCTAAAGTAACTAGTGAAATAATAATACTCAGTTCCATGTCCTTGAAGAAACCAGGGAATGGGACAGAGAATAAATAAATTGGCAAAGGGGTATGTGTGAAAGATGATAGGTAAACAAGGAGCCAGAGAAGCAGGAATTGCCTAAACCAGAGTTGGAATTTAATACAGTACCTTATATGTATAAAAATGTGCAAGAAAGAATGAGCATGGGGACAAAGAAACATGCACTTTTATGTGTTTGTTTGGGGGGTTTGTTTGGTTTTTATTTTATCTTTCACACTGAATAGTTTTGACTGTATGAAAAAAAAACCAACCCATTGTCTTGTTTCAAGGAAAAAAGTCACTTTAACTACCTTTCAAGTAATGGATTTTTTAAATGAGAGTGCAGACAGGTACCAGAATGTTATCCACGTTACTTTGGGAGGGGGAGACCCTATTCCCAAATCTCCAATCTGCCTGGCTCCATTTCTGTGACAGTGGATGGAGATCTGATATTTGAGCAGTATTTAGTGAGATTTATATCTTTTAGTGAGATTATGAGCAGTCTATAAATGCAGCTTTGTCCCCTAGGAGGGCAACAGCTTTGCCATTGATGTATTTTAAGTGAAGTCAGGCTCCATGTGAGTTTCTTCACTCCAAACTTCCCATCCAGTTTCTAGTGGGAAAAACCCAAATGTTTGTCCCAAAGATGTAAAGAAGCGCTGGGTTCTGGGGATGGAGGACTCGATCCCTGTGGAAATCCGTCTGCAAGAACATCGCGTCCTGGGGACAGGGCGGTCCCTGCTCGGCTTTTGGACAGCTGGGTGGACGCTGCCACCTATCGATGGATGGAGAACGGGAAACCCGAGAGCTTACACCGAGCTCCTCGCCCCAGAAATGTCCCAGTCTCTGGGAGGAACAAACACGGTTTTCTAAACGCAGCTAATGGCCAGCACAAGGCTAAAAGTTGTGTTGCTGAAAGCGTGTGAACAGCGCAGGGTGAAGGTTTGGGGACATGTGGCACTGAATCGGCCAACTTGGGTGGCCTCTTTAAACAAAATGCACCACATTTCACAAAAATGTGCAGCTTTAGCAGCAGAAAGAATCAGCAGCAGCTTGTGGGATCAGCTCTCCTCGTGTGCTGCAGGTAGGGAGCTTTCAGACTCATCAATCATGGAAGGAAAACCTGTCACAACAGGTTAAGTCAGCAGTGTAAGTACGGGCAGCAAAATGCTCTGTGCAGCTCTGGAGAGAGGGATGCAAGTGCAATAGGAACTGGGTGACTTCTCTGAACTCTAATGGAAGCATCAGAGGCTGAGGATGGGCAGGTTTCTGCAGGAGATCAGACTAAAGGATCTTCTTCCACGTGTTTCATCATAAACCCAGGGGTTTGTTTCTTGTAGGTCTTTTAGTCTTCTTTATTTCCAGAACTGGATGTAGGTGCCTCTCACAGTTATTTACCAACATTCAATAATCATTTCCAATAATTTAATTTTTTATAACTTGCTAAACGTATGATTGCTTTTTTTACCTTACTGAGCACTGTTTTGTGTCTTCTGGCTTTTGAACAGATTAATTATGAATTTATATTCATAGATCAAGAAGATTATAAATATATTTTCTTGATATGACAAAAAAGCTAATTGTCTTTCATAAGAACTAGGCTTGGGCAAGGAAACATCTACTATTGTACACTACAACTACAGTTAGTAGTAACTACAGTTACTATTCTACTAAATACTGTTTGGGTAGAAAAATGACTAAGCATTCAAAAAATTGAAATGGCAATCGTAAAAGGAGTGCTTTCCACCAAGCTGAAGGGAGAAAGCAGAAGATTGTATTGAACCACAATGAGAAAGTGCTAGAAAATGTTTAAGAATAGACTAATTTCTGGAAATTCACTTTATGTTTTTCCCTTGAAAACAGCTGGAAATTGAGAATTCCTTTACAAGTGAGTTCCATAGATGAGGTCTATAAAGACAAAAAAAACCTTAATTGGGGATTTTGACTCAGAGGAATCATCCCTATTTAGCACAGCACTGAAAATGGAGTTCTTAGGTTTACATTTATTTTTAACTGATTTAGACATTTCAGATTTTCAGCATGCTTTTTCCAGATAGATCTCAGTGTTAGAGGGGCATTTGGTGATTTTCAAAAGATTTCCAATTTCTTCCTGTTGGCCAGGAGCAGAGACCTCAGTCAGCTCTCTGACTATTGATCCTTGGAAGGAACAGAACAAAAGAGGTTCCCCTGTACACAGAGGGCCTGTGATTTTCATGGTGTGGGAGAAGGAACATCCTGCATAGAATATTGTAACAGCACTCTGCAATTCTCTGCTGCAGTAACTATTTGCATTAGTCTCATTAATTAGTCTCACTAATTGATAGTCTCATTATGCCCTGGAAATACATCTGTGTGCAAGCTTTCACACACATGTACAGGCATGCACGTGTGCTGATTGAAAACCTCCCAAAGAATGGCTTGATCCAGATCCAGATTGGTTTAAAAAATACAGATTAACTTCAACATCCATGGCATACAAATATCGGGCCCAGAACTACATTTTAGCCTCAGCTACTTGGGCAAAAGGATGCCCTTGGGTATGAGACACAGCATCCTTAGCTGAAGTTTGAAGTGTGGGAGAATCAGGCTGATCAACTGATTTTGGGAGGTTTCCAATATTTTCTAAAAATCAAGCATCCTGTCTGGATAAAACCAGGGAAAAAAATTCAGCACTTTGTAAGAATAGCTCTGCTATCTCCTTAAAAACAGCCTAAAATACTTTTTCTGTAGATATGAGTGGTCACTGGCTATGACCTGGAAACTGGTGTGTTTTGGTTTTTTCATTATCTGATGTTGCACTAGAGTGTTCTGGATGCATGAATTTAACCTGAGGGACTGTCTAGAAGGATAACAATTTTCTAAGTTGTTGTTTATCTTTGATTGTCACCTTCACTGTTTTTAGAATTCTGTATATGGGTATTTGAAATATTCCACATTTGACTTTGTAAAATTTTTGTGGGTTTCTTTGAGTTCCAGCATTTGCATTTTTTTTGCCCTATAGTGAAAAAATGAGATTTTGAAATCACTGTTCTATTTTGGAAGCTCTTAATGCAGACACTACACAATCTGCTTTAGCTGAAACATCTGTAGAGTGTGCTTCTGTTATCCATTTAATAATCTTTTTGAGGTGTAACCTGTTCAGGCTGGGAGCTTCCCAGTGATGTTGCAGATGTCCCACAGCTCTGGCTATGGCTGCTGCTGTTGTTGCTGTGATTGCAGACATCTGTAGTGGTAGCTTGCTCAGAGAAAGAAGAAACAATACATCACATGCAACAAGCACTACTGCATTGTGATTTCCCCCCCTTCCTCTCACTGTTTTAGCGTAAAACCAACTGCTTGAGGCTGGCTGAATTAATGTCTTTTTGCTCATACTTCATGGCAAATGAATTACAATCACAGTTTTGTTTACTCTGGCAGTAATTATTTTTTCTACTTGCATGCTGTGCTGCTGATCAGTTTTAAAGGCTATAAGAAGCTAAAAGCACACAGAAGTCATGGCATCTCTCACATGGAGGCTTCACATATTACTCACTCCTACATCTGCACAGGTAACTGGGACAGAGTTAAGGCACCAAATATTCTACCTGTGATACAGCACTGCTTGCCTTAAATACTGCTCTGCTCTGAGGTGTTAAGCAGCAATCTTGGACTTCAGTAATTACTAGTAATGGGCTTTTTCATATCTGATCATTCATGCAGTGTAAAGAAGAGATTTACTCATTCTGCCCAGAGGCTGAGCCAGAAGAGACAGCAAAGCTAATGTGATTCATTGAAGGAAGAGAGTGGACAATTACCAGCAACTTGTTTACGTTTTGCCTTGGATAGCCTAAGCTGGTAAGTCATATTTAACTCTTTAATGCACATATTCATTCAATTATTCATTTCAAGTATGATTGATTCATAAACATACAGTGTTGGGTGGTTTCTCAGCTGTTGTGTTTTCCTAGCTGTCTATAGAGTGTAGCATATATGTGCCACAGACAACAGAGAGTGACATATAATTTAGGTATTTCATTTTCTTTCTCTGCCATATGTTTTAAGGGACATTAGGTCAATATATAACAATTGAAAAGGAAAAAAAACCCCAAAGCTTTTATAAAGGTAACTATTTTATATTCATTTGTATTTGAATTTGGCTTTTAAAGGACCCTGGTAATGGGTAATAAAATGGTTACTTCAGTGCTTAGGTGCAAGTAGAAATCCATCACAAAGATGAAGCTGCAGGATATGCAGCATGAAATGTGTTTTGGGAGACCTTGGTCCCTGGTTTGGTTCATGCATAGCACAGTGACAGTCACACAGACTGGTTTGATGGGTACTTCCAGTGCAGGGCAGTAATTGCTTCCCCAGAGATCTGCTGTGAGACTTTTGTGCTCTTTTATTCTTGGAAATGCAAACTGCTGTTAATTATGACTGTTTGTAAGGGGAGCTGATGCTGTTATTTTCTCTAGTCCTGCTTTTCTGAGCAAAACCTGGTGCTGTGCTGCCTGTTGTAGTGCTCACCTTGCTGTGGGGATGAAAGGTGGATCACACAGGGCTACTCCAAACCCTATGGAGGTGTCCTTATTGTCATCCTGACCCACATCAGCTTTGTGCAGAGGCTTCCACAGCTGAAAATCTGAAATGGGGCTGTTCTGCACATCTCCTTTTTCTAAATTATTAGTGTTCCATGTGCTGCAACAACTCTAGCTCTGACAATGACACATCTTCAGGTTAAGAGCATTTCAGCTGGGGGATTTGTTGTTTCAATCAAGACAATGCATATTTCAGGTCTTCACCTGATCATTGAGGCAAGGATATGATTGTAAAAGAAATCAAATTAATAACTTTTTAAAGGAGTCTAAAACTGCTGTCATGAAATAGTTTATTTCTGTAAAAAAATCCAGCATCCAAAACCCCTGTGTTTTCTATCACAGGATCATGTGAATGGAGCTCTTCTGTCCTTATTTCTTACTATGCCTTTCACTCATGATTTTTGCCCACTTTCATTCCCATTGCTCTACTATAAGTTATTTCTAAAGTCTAATAAGGTCCCACTTCCAGAAAGTTTTCCAGAATATGCAACTTGTGTTTTTTTCTTCATTTCATACCTTGTACCTGACTAGGAAGGATGTAAGTATGATAATCTGCAGCAGCATTTTGCACTTCACTGTTTGAGTACACTGGTGAAAAAATGCAGCTCATTTGCATCACATCATTCCAGCTATTGCTTTATTGTTCCACATTTATTCCCTGCACTTGTTTGGGATGCTGATGGTGAGTATACAGGGAACATATCTATGTTCCAAGTCATTTGTGATTCACCAATTCTGTGTAGATAGCAAAGATGCCATCTGTTTTATTGTTGAATAGCTGCAATATCAAGAATGTTTACTTAGCTTCTCTATAGATTCACCTGCTCTTGACTTCACAGAAACATTCATGAGATTATAAAAGATTCTGTTCTCTTCCTCCATCAGTGTCAGGTTTGGGATCTGCTCTGGCTCTTTACTGACAAAACTTCCATGAGTGCAAGGGCATGCTGCAGTTACTGCCCTCCAAAGTGGTGGTTTAGGTGGTTACTGACACACTGCTGTTTTCTTCTCAGTGGATAAACCCTGGTTCATTGACCAGATCAAGGTGGGAAGGACTCCAGCAACCCCAAGGAACTGTAATATCTGGAGTCAAATTCTGTTTAATCACAGTCCCTGAGAACACTAACCCATGCCATAGGAAACAGATTGGTGGTTAATTGCTCTGAGACTTTTCTGGGTTGGTGACACAGTTTAGCACCCCAGTGATGCCTAAAGTTGCTTTGGTTTAAAGCCTACACCTGCACTCTGGAATGCTGGAACAGAGACTGCAGTGGATGTATTGAAACAGAGAAAACAGCCCTGCCAACTGTCTGAGTTTTGAATGCATATTGGAGAGGTGTCACTAGAACACCTCTCCCAAAGACTCTGATTCCCTGGAAAACTGACAGGTGCTTCTCCTTTATTTGCTCAGGTTAGAATTTTCTCATAAACAAAAAAGCTGCAGTCAAGCTGTTCTCTGTAGAAATTTGAGATTCTGGAAACAACTTCTCCTTTCTCAAGGAAAGCTTTAACTTGATGACTTTCAAGAGATTCTGTGAAAAACATCTGGGCAGCTGAGTTTAAGGAGATGGAGACAAACACAGTTCCTGCATTAGTGAACACCAGAGAAGAAATAGGGCTTTTTTGGAGTAAGGATGGCAAAATTCAATTTTTTTGTAATTATTTAAATCCTTGAGGGTATTAAAGTAGTTTGGTCTGGTGAGACAGAGAGAGAATGTTATCAGCCTAGAGAACATGGATAGAGGCATAAGCCATGTTAGGTTTTATACCAGGAATTCTTGTTTTGTTTAAATAATACCACAATAGGTAGGAAAAGTCCTATTAAGTAGATGTTCCTAATTTTTTTAATGCATACTAACTAAATACCTACACAGCCCCTCAGTGAATTCCCATATTGGCTTTGTGAGCCCTGTAACCTCTCCTGTGCCACTCAGATGTGCTGAGCCTGTTGCTTTTCAAATAAAACAACACAACCAAAGCAGACACAGTGCAGCAGGCTGACCTGCCTTTGAATTGAGAATTGGTTGGGTCTACTCTTCTTCGTCCTCATCTTGAGGGTGGGTAGGTTTGTGTGGCAAATGCAGCTACTCCTTCTGTCCTGAGTTCACTATTAACTGTGTGGTGTTTGGTATTCCAAACTTGTATTCTTGTAATCAAATTATTTTGGGAAATTGAAACTTCCTTTACAAACATACTTATGGCCCCCCCTGACCATTCACTCTTTGGGTCTGTGTTTTGACCCATATTTAATTGATGAAAAGAAAGTTCTTGAAAACAGAAGGAAAGGGAGAAATTTATGTGGGACAATCTGTAGCACTATGTACTAACAGAAATTGGAAGAAGAAATTTCTCTAAATAACTGAGAAATAAATTATTATTAGATTTGGAAATTTGCTGAGTTTCTTTAAAGTACTAATAACATAGAAAAGTGGGAGGTGGATAATCAGTTTACTCCATAAACTCAGAGAAAATCAGTCAAAAATCCTTGCAGTATTGCTTCCTCCTGAATCCCAGAGATCTGATCATCTCCACACTTGCACATTTATTTCAATTCCCTGTGATTGCACACATTGTTGTTCAAATGTAACAAAGTCTTTTCATCCCATATGACAATTGTGTTGACTCTTCCTTCAGAGACCTGGTGTCTCTTCAATTCCCCTGGAGCATGGAGAACATGTGAAATAATTTGGAATAAGATATTTTTGTGCTCAGGGTGTCTGCTCACCACAGTGTACTGTGAGAATGGAAGATATAGAAAGCTTAAGAGACCTGGGTGGTATCTTTAATCTTAAGGACAAATACCTGCCAAAACCAGCCTCAACAGCAGGGTGAGTGTTCAGTAAAGAATGCTTTTACTGGAAATAGTCATTAAAGTCTGGTCCTGCCATCCAGTTTGCTCAGAAGAAGGCTGAGACCATGAGAACAACAAAGAATTTCTATCATAGTACCAAAAAAAAAAAAAAAATTATTTCCAGAAAAGATAGTCTGAAAGGGTAGCCAGGTTTACTGTTACAACTGTGAATTCTCCAAGAGAGGCATCCTGCCTTACAGATGTGTGCACACTCTTGTCAGGGGAAAAGGAAAATGGGAAGAAATTATGCACTTTTATCACCTTTTCACTTAGAAATCCATAGGGACAGTTTCCTATGCCTGCAGTTGGGTCAAATCTGGTTCTTAGTTTTCCTTTGGAAAGGCAAAATTATTTCCACATAACATACTTCCAGAATTAAATATTAATTCAATTTTTCTTAATACTGAAAAATTACTGTAATGATAGAGCATAGAAAGCATTGTTTAATTATGAGATAATATGGAAATCTAGTTAGGTGGGGCAATCAGAGAGAGGCAGCAGTCCGTCTTGGAAGGGTTTGTACTCTAAATGGACAGGACAAACACAGAGTAGGGTAAAGTAATACAACATGTACACACAGCCAGTGCCTGCCCACTACATGAGGCTTGAAACTGTCCACAGCAACATTTACTTTTGGGTGTCATTTTTTCTGACTCCTGTACTGCCAGAACTCTGAAAAATACATTGTTTCCCTCATTTATTGAAACCCTTTCTCCTTATACAAATTAGTAAATAATTCTGAGGTGGTCTGCTTTATTTTTACATTTTTAATTCTCTGTCTCCATAGATATCTATGGGTCTAATTCCATAAAGAGCAATTTGCCATTAAGACAGTCCCAACCATGCCTCTGTGTGTCCAGAAACTGTGTGTGAAAGTGATTTCAGCCACACCGTGCGTTCCAGCGACACACTTCTGATCAGCGACGCTGGTGTAGCAAAACCCCACTAAATGGCTGCTGGTTTCCTTCCAGAAAACCCTGGCTGAGAATGACCCAGCAAATGCACAACCTGAGCCTCCTGCAGAGCAAAAAGGCCAGCATGCCGTCGTCCCCCAACGCTGCCAAGCGGCTGTACAGGAACCTGTCGGAGAAGCTGAAGGGCAGCCACACGTCCTTCGATGAAGCTTATTTCCGAGCCCGCTCCGACCGCCTCAGCCTCCGCAAGGCCTCCATGGTAAGGGCCTGAGCCCCACCACGCTGCCAGCTCACCCTCCAATTCACCCTCCTGCTCATCTCCTTCATCAGCTGCCTTTTCATCATTCATTCATGTGCAGCGCTCATCATCCCGCTTTGTTCCCTGGCAGGTGTGCTCTTCCCAGCCTTGGCCTTTGTCAAAACAGAGTCTGGCCTTCCTGAGGGGTAAAGACACCTACTTCAAGTGTGAAATGCTTACATTTTACATCTATTATTTTAGGAGTAAATATGCTTATTTTAGGAGTGAGGTTGTAGCTTGGCACTTACATGACAAAATGTGAATTAAATCTATATATGCGAGTATTTCTCTACTAGAAAAGAATAAAGTATTTTGAGGAAAGTGAGGATGGCTTTAATAGAAGTTCCCATTTTTCCAAATGTCAGAGCAAATGGAACTTTCAGGCATGGCAGATAAATGCAAGGCTGTGGTGATGGTCAGTACATAAGACTGTGGAATAAAGAGATCACATGTGGAGTCTGGCGTGGATACCCAACCAAATCCCATCCAAGCACTCTGGTACCAGCACAGTAAAATTTAGAAACACCTGCTGGAATTTACCCTCACAAGGGCTCCTGCTGCTGCCAGTGCTGCTGAGGTTACACAACCCCCAGTGCACACATCTTGGGGAATGGACTTTGTCCCTGAAATAACAGCCCAATGTAAATTCCGTGTACAGCAGAATATTTTCTATTTGCTGGAGGAAGATGAACCTGCTTGCTGATATTGCCAAAACAAAATAAATTCCACTTTTTCCTAAGCAGGAAGGACATACTCTTAAATGTCTCCTCTCAATTACTGAGTTTGTCTCCACTTTTGCAGAGCAAAGACTAATGATGGAGTCTGTGAATGCACCAGGAGATGCCCCTTGGAAGCAGCACTCTGCTGCACTCAATCAGATGGTTAGTGCAATGCAGAACTAAACTCAGAGTCTGACTGTGCCAGACAACAAAAATATTAATTACATTTTGTCAGAAGGGAAAAGGACACTCTAGACTCCTTTAACACTCACACATTATGTAAGAGATATAACAGTGCAAGAATTGGAAATTATTTTTAATTCAATTAGCTGATGCTGTCACCTAGGATCATCCTTTCCTGAAGACAGAGGACCCTTGCATGACCCATGGAGACTGTTGTCTCTCTCCTATGATGAAAGACCATGACCTGAAGGAAGCAGAGGATCATCATAGCTGTTCCCTCTCACCTCTTCCAGAGCCAATAGATCCTTGGTTCATAAGAGAAGCCTGAAATTCAGACAAGGCTTGTGAGCTGGAGAACAGCCTTTTCATGTTAGCTAACAGCTCTACTTTTGAGGCTGGGGGTTTCCAAATGCTTTTCAGTTTGTAGGGGTGATTTGAACTGAGGTCTCAAACAGTGGGTAAATGATGAATTTTTAGATTAATTTTTTTAGCCACTGTCTTATCTTGTCCTTTTTTTTTTTTTTTAACTACAAGCTCATGTGTGACTGAGGGAGTGAAGGAGGAGAATAAACCAGCACTGGGAACATGCCAGAGCAGACTGACATGTAGGCTGAATGAATGCCAGTCTGTGAGCATATCTTCTGAGCAGTGTTTATCTAAATACACCCTTCAGATTACACATTTCTTCAAACATGGGCTCTTCTGTCATACTTCACTAATAAGAGAAATTGCCAGTGAGCTGAGCCAAAGGATTGAGGAGCAGGGCACTGCTGCTGGGGGCTGAGTCCTCTGCTAAACCTGAGGTAATAAATTACAACCTCAGATCTGTCCCTTTTCACTCTGTCAGCAGTGGGAGTGCTCATTCCATCAGACATCACCAACAGGAGACTTTGATTTTGTGTGGATGGGGATTAAATGGGACACAGACATACCTGTGCTAACTTTGTCCCCCCAGCCCACTACATTGTCATGGGAGTGTCACAGCTTTTGTCACTGGGAACACCCAGCACAGGAACCTGCAGGTGTCACCAGTCTGGGGTCTGAGCTGGTGTCCACAACAGGCACTGAACAGACTCCCACTGAACTCTAGAGGATTTGGATCCCATTCTATCCATTCTGCTTGTTGTTTTCCCAGTTTTCCCTAGAAGTAAACAGCAAGAAAACCATCAGTGAAGGGGTGGAAACATTCCAGGTCAGGTTGCTAGCTCATGTATTTTCTAATCATTGAGTTTCTGTGCCACTGAGCTAAGTCAAGGAGTAAAATCATGTCTCCAGACAAGTGAACAACATTTGTTAGAATTTGTTTTCTTTCAGCTTTGGCTAGTGAAGAGTTTTCTTTCCACTCTCTCTTGCTGTGCAACACTTTCCATTCAGTAAATTGTTGTCTTGCTGCAGACATAGCAATGTCCTAAAATAGCTTTATTCTTGAACTCATGTTTATCAAAACAAGTCTTTGCAGAAACTACTTTACCACTTTTTCCAACTCCAGTAGTACATAGTGGACTTTTTCAGTCAAACTTAGAGCAAATAGCTTGAAAGGGGCACTTCATTTTAATTAAGCTGCATAAGATTGCATTTCTAAATACTCTGGCACTGAATCACTTACTGGAACATGGTTATTACTTACTGCAAAGCAATACTGTAGTTCTTTTCAGTATATACATTTGTGCATCACAGTAACACCTAAATAAATTAATCACGTAGCACAGCTGTCCAGCTAATGATTAGAGGCTGCAGGACTGAGTCAAGGAAAAAGCAATGCAAAAACTTCTCCTAAACTTCACCCAATCACTTTTAAATGGGATTCAGTTTTAATTTGGATTTAATTTCTTTTGTCCTTTCAGAGCAGAAGTTATCTAATAAAGGTAAATGATGGCTTGTGTTGGTATTTGTGACAATACCAGCTGGACTAAAATAGAGCACTGGGGTCTAAAGATATTACTCTTTATACCTGTTTGGATTTCTGATCCCTGGACTGCAGATGTCTGACAAATGCTGCAATACTTGAGGGTCTTTTACATGGAATGTGATAAGCTTTTTGCAGCAAACTGTACAATTTTCAAGTATATTTCTGTTTTCTGTGTGAAAGCAAATAGTTGGGGAAAGTTGTGTAGAATTTTTTTCTGGACTAGGAGAGCTGGGGTGGATGCAGACCTCCAAATGGGGCAGTTCACCAGCATGGCTGATGATAGACATTAGATAGGTAATAGATATTTTGCTGCCTCTCCAGGATGATTTCTGAGTGTCTAGCACAGTTTGATGTGCTCTGCTGTGGATGAGGGATGCACACATGACCAGCTAGAAAGGCCACATCACAGCTCCCGTGATTTTACACTCTTTGAAGTCACAGGACTTGCTGATGGATTTCAGTCTATTGCTTGTGTCTGAATTGCTCATTTGGAAAACCTGATATTTGCAATTTGGTCTTGCAATTGTTTGGATTGGATGAAGTAACTTATGATATTCACGCTCTGTTTCTCATTTAAATCAGTGCAGCTTTTTCAATCAGTTTTCTAATGAAATAAAGAAATAGAAATTTGCTTTTATTTTTTCCCTTTTTGGTGAAACTTTCTTGCCAACAGATCAGCTGGCAAGAGCGTTTATGACAAATTAACTTAAACATGTGCTTAGATTCTGCTCAACAACTTACTTAGGGCCAAAATTTCACAAATACTTCAGGTATTTAATTTGGAAAGCAGAAGTCCAAAGATGCATTTTCAAAGGCACACTGACAGGTCTAAATCATGATAACTGAATCAAAAAAACACAGTTTAAATCAAAGTTTTTAAAATAATTCTACAGCAATCTGACAGGTAGGTAAAATCTCTTTTTAGTTTTAGGGGGGTGTGTGTGTCTATATATATATTTTAAAAGGACCAAATGCTTTTGTCAGCCATAATTTGGGTTACTTTCAGCTATAATAGTGAAGTTAGCCATCTCTCTTTTACTATCATGTAATAGTGAATTTTTTGTTTCTATAATGGAAGAAACTTAGGAGATGTAGTCCAAGATTTCCTGAGTTTGTCACAGAATCGGAATTAAAGCTAAATAATGATACTGAGCACTTAGGGTAGCACTCTACAAATGCTAACTCATTTAACTTTTGTGCACATATGTAAAGCCAATTAAAAGATAATTACTTATTCTGGTTTTTTAAAAAGGGAAAACCATATGTGTACCCAGTGCCACAGAAGGGAAAATGTGAAGAGAGAAATAACTAATTCCTGTCCTGAGTGAGCACCACAGCCTTTCACCCAGTGATATCATCAGCTTTACCTTTTTGTTCTGCTCCCAGACTGTTTCCAAAAATAAACTTAACTAAAAGAAATGCAGACTAATGCAGTCATTCCATTTTGTTCAAACAATTCCCTTTGTAACATGCTCTTGATTAATTCACTGCTAAATAAGTAATTTTCATAGCTGTGATCAGTTACAAGAGTAGCTTGTTTTCTGATTGGATCAAAATGTAGAAGATTCTGAAGCATAATTATCCTGTATCCTATAAAGAATACTGTAGAGAAAGTTCCAGTAACAGTAGAAAAAGAACTTGAAATGGATGTTAAGAGTGATGAAATGAATGCTGTTTAGAATGCTGATACAGAAGAATTGGAGAAGGTATTTCTAGTGGAAGGTGTTCCTGTGGCAGGCTGTTCCTTCCAGCCCAAACCTTTCTGTGGTTTTCTGATTTTACATTTCTAATAATTTCTATGAAAAAGAAACCCATCACTTCACAATTCTTCATCTTAATAATGAAGTTACATAGATTGAAGAGCACAGCTTTCTTTTTCCTCTGTAGTTCAAACATCAGCGCTCTCTGTATGTTAATTTTGAGTTACAATACAGTGATATACAGCTGTTAAATCAATATCACTGTTGAGTGGAGCTGAAGACATACAGAATTATCAGAATCATACCAATAATTAAATTATTTTGTAATTATAATTACTTAAAATGCTTTTAATTTCTAGCAAGAGCACTTCATCCCTTCAGGAAAAACACCAGAATAAGAGTAAGGTCTCTGATATCAAGATTATAAATGTTTTACATAAGCAAGACAGGAGATATGTGGGGCTACAGGAATGATAAGAAATATTCCTGCATTGCAGTAAAATTTTCCAACGTTTTTGAGGTTTTATCATATAATAAGGGAAATATATGCTGTCTTCTAAAGTTTTCTGGACATGTGCTCTCACTAATGACAGTGTATGTCCTTACAAACAATTTTTATCTTGAACAGAGGGGTTGGTAAATAATGACAAATAGAGCTGCTTGCCATTCAACTACCCTTTTTTCTGAGATTTTTATCTTGTACCAACCCTGGAGTGTGGTCAAAGTATTTGATTATAAAATTAAACCTGAATCTCACCATCTGGAGAAAAGTCTAAACCCAAGAATGTGACAGAGCCCCATCATTAGCACTGATGATTAACTCATATCTTTTATTCTGCATGGAAACCTACAGAAAAAAAATAAAACTAAAGAAAAAAATATTTCTCTAACATGAACTGTTCTGTTCTTCAGTGTCTCCAAGGTTAATTCCCAAGTCAGAACTACTGTCCCAACTTTGCTTTATTGCTGCACAGCTCATCTCATCCTTAGATTATTATCTTAACATAAGTATCCCATTTCTTTATATTGGCAGTTTGGGGTAAAGGGCATCTTATGTACATTTGTCTTCCTGTTCTGCTGATCCCCAATATTCAGCACAGACGGGGTCTGTACCAAAAGTTTAAGGTAGCATCACCTTTGTAATTTCTTAGTGTGGTACCAATATTTCACGTGCAAGGAGTAGACCAGAAGATCCCTGTCAGGCCTGAAAATTTCTGAAGACACTTTTTAAGTCATGCACATTTAAGAAAAGCCCATGGAGAACTGATCAGATTCCAAGGTGGAGCTGGGGACTGCAGTTTCCAGGGATGCTTGGAAACCTAGTCCATGTGTTTTATGAGGAGAAAAAAGATGTTCCAGCAGGTCAGTGTTGTTTCACCGAGACCAAACTTGGACACAGATATGCCCAATAAAACTATATCAATTTAAAAAAGAAAATGAAGTTTTAGAGTGGTTGAAGTGACTTCCAATCACAGTGGAAAATGGTTTCAATTCAATATTTATTTCATAGAATAAAGAGTGCATTCTGTGATGAGAATTTTCTCAGTGCTCCCTCCCTGTGGTTTTGGGACACAGGGAGCTGGTTTATACTGCATATCCAAATCTGTGCTCTGAGCCCTCCTTGCCTTGCTGGGCCTCCTGCTCCTGCTAATTCATTCCAAAGAGGGGAAAAACCCTATCAGGTAATTATGGCAATGGGACACTGGGAGAGAATTTAAAGAATCTTGGCAAATAACTTGGAGTTACTGCAGGCTCCAGAAGGATGTTCTCATAAAAGAAACCTGCAGGCCCTGCTGCTCTCCTGCACCTGCTTCTCCCCAGCTCAATTAAGAAACAACAGGGGCCTTTGTGTTGTGCCATTCTTTTATCTCCTTGACATTGGTAAGGAAAAGGTTCAGTGGTTCTCCCTGCCTCAGACTTGGTGCCATGAAAGTTCCTGGGTTTGATTGCTGCTGCTCAGACATGCACTGGGCAGTCCAATTTTTCAGACACATTTCTACTTCTGTTTTTAAGGACTATAAATTTCAAAGTTATTTCTAGTTACAACTTAAATGCAATAACACAGGCACCTAGAAATAACTGAGGTGGTAGAATGAACATGCTGGCTCACACAGGAACTGGGAGGGGATTTCTGCAAAATTGCTTGTTTAATTTGGATTTTCATCACCTGATTGTAGTTTTCTTGAAAGTTTGAGTTTGAAAAACTCAGTAGTCCAAGGCTCTGCCAAAACTGTAGTGTATCATCCAGCTTCACACTGCAAACAAAATGTTGCTGATACAGTTTGATTACAGGGCAGATGTCTGAAGAAGGATGTGTTTGTTCCATATGGTTTAAATCTCACTTGAATCTTCCCACATACCTGAAGCAATTTCAAGCACTTCAGGGGTAGACCAAGCTCAATTCTGCTGCAAACATTTGCCATGCTTCAAGCTGAGCCTAACTTGGGGCTGAAGGAGCAATATTTTATTTTGAGAAGTGATCTCACAAAACACAAATTTTCTCTATTTTTAAAGCACTAATATATGAAAAGTTTTACTAAATTTCTGTCTTTATTGACACACAGAATTTTCAGTGCAATGAAGCTATGTTTGAGGCCGTAGAGCAGCAGGACCTGGATGCTGTTCAGATTCTTCTTTATCAATACACCCTGGAGGAACTGGACCTGAACACACCAAACAGCGAGGGACTCACTCCTTTGGATATTGCCATTTTGACAAACAACATCCCCATTGCCAGGACCCTTCTACACGTTGGAGCAAAGGAAAGCCCACACTGTAAGTAAAGAACACAAATTGACTTAGATACTTGCTTGTATGAGATCAATTCTGCTGTTGCTAGGGAAAATCAATTACAGGGCACACAAAAATTGTCTGGTTTTATTGTAAGGATGATTATAACAAGAGTGCTGGAGGATGTTTGCAGCAATATCTGCTCATTGGATGTGTGCTCAGTAGATCTTTTTTGTTCTGTGTCTCAGATACACCAACTAATGAATCAGGTTGAGCTTCTAATGTGATTAACACAGGGGCAGCTGGGTTAACAGCAATTTTGAGAAAAAAATCCTTAAAAATATGGCAACAGAACCTCAAGGATTCAAAGATCCTGGTCTGAAATGTAGAGTTTTTCATCAAAAATGAAAGGATGATGGGTTGTCTAGACTTTGCTTTATTTTGATTATCCTTTTGATTTTGGCTATGCTGCCTTCAGGAGGCCAGTTGTGTGGGAATCTATCACTTCCATTCCCCACAGACCCCTTACTACAGATCTTCAAATGGCCTAAAATCCCACTTAAATGAGAATTTCAAAGTTCTACAGAACCAGAGAAAATCTAAACACAAAACAGACCTTCTCACTTTACTGGAATACCAATATTGCTTGTAACTACATATTGTAGTTATAAAACTTCTTTGTATTCCTTCATGGGCCTTTTTATGCCCAGTTTGTGGGTTGGAGAGTGACTTACCAACCCAATTAATCAACCATATACCATGACACAAACTCTGACGCCTTACGTGGGTCTAAAAATACCCCGATGTAAGAGAATTTGTTTTAAGCTGTCAATGCCTATATTTAGGACATTCCCAGCAAGGCTATAATGAGACTGTGTTTGAGGGGTTCAGCCACTGCAGAGTCTGCCATTAATTTGAAGTTAGTTAAATTAACAACATTTAGTGCTGGCGTGTCAATCTCAGTGCTCCAGGAAATTGCACCTTGAGGCTACTAACATTGCCAGTTTTTTCACTGGAGAGTGTGTGTGCATGTGCATGTTGAGTTTTTTTGCCAGACCTTCAGTGTTGGTACACCTTTATTGCTTTTCTATATCCACAGCACTTATATTATCATTTATTCTGGCCTCCTTTAACCTTCCCTGGAGATTTTTGCATAGTGTAGCTGCTCAGTGAAAAGAGTTTTTTAGTTTTATATTTATTTGTTTATTTTTCTGTCATGGTTCATGACTGAGGCTTTAAAAAAAAGTGTGACAGCATTTAGAGTACATGATTGACTGCTGAAGCAACATTCATTAACCATGACAAATCTAGAGGAAAACACAGTCTTGAGTGTTCTAAACAGCAGTAAAAAAGACTAAACTAATTTTTCATTGACCTCATCTGTAAATAAATGCAGTCTGATGGCAAGCAGGGGCAATCATAAATTAGTATTCATTTCCTGTAATTAATGCAAACATGCCTATGAACACAGAGAATATGAATATATAACCACTTCATTTCCATTTCAAAATATACCCACCAAATTTCCACTTCACTTATCTTGATTTTTAGTTTTTCTGATTGAAATAACGGATGAAGCATTCTCAGTGAAACGCAAATGATCTTTTTGTTTGGGCTTCTTACATGAAGGATTTGCAGGGGCTGAGAGCAAAATGCAAAAAGTTATTTTCAACCCTCAAAACAAAGGTTCACGGCATCTTTGTGCGTGGCTTCACCCTTGTGGAACTGAGTCACTTGTGGATGGCAGTCACTTTCTGTTTTCTCCAGACTTTCTGCTCTGCTTTCCATACTCAACTGACCCTGTTCAAGTTAAATCCTGTTTATATCATCTCAGGGCTGCAGGAACATGGTCCAGCACCCAGCTGGAGTATTTTCATTTCTCTCTGGTGGATAATTGAGCAGCACTTCCACAGGCTGAATGGGAGGGTAAAATCCTGACTCACCTGGTTTTGGGACTGGACGTGGCATCTCTTAATGTGGTTACAAGTGTACAGCACAGAGCTGGGAGAAGGCAAAATAGAGGAATGCCTTATTCCAAGTGCACACAGAAAGCTTCCTTCATGGAAAAACCTTTTCTCTTCCACTGTATATATTAGCTGTAGTCATCCAGCTGAAATCTCATTATAGCTTCTAATCTAACTCTGTAGAAAAGAGGATCTGGAGGACAGACAGTATCCTTCCATCTGTATCACCTGGATTTCTGCCTGGAACAGCAGCAGATAAAGCAATAGATAGTAAAACTAGGATCTTTGTTTCCACATGGAACTCAGATTTTATAAATCTCAACAGGAACCCAATCTTTTAAAAACAAAATAACTAAGATCGGAGAGTACAGCATTTAAAATACTAATTTAGCTGTGGAAAAGACAAAGTTTTGTCTTTTCAGTTACTATTATGAAACTGTATATGATGAAATATACTCATGGTTTGGTTTGTTTATGTTAACCCAAATAAAAATAAGATTAAAATTTCTACTGGCTGATTGGACACGTTTCCAAGACTCAACAAATGTGGATCTGAACCTTGATTAAACAGATAGAGACAGATCCTTTGTCAGAACTTGAACCGATGCCAATTCTCAACCACCTGAAGCTCTGGCACATAAAATCTCCTTCCTCAGTCCTGTTGTGCTATCAGATGTGTTGCATGTTTATTGTAGGCATGGATCCAGGAAATCCTATCACCTCTGGCCTCCCAGTAAACAACAGTTCTGAGGATACCAGCAGGTTCCAGGGAGCCTGGCCATATGTCCCTGATGTCCATATGAGGAATGATCAAACTTAAGAAGGATGGCTTCAAGCCAGCTTCTGGAAGCAAAGTCTTAGAGACAAACATTCTTCAAAAACAACCCTTTGGATGTCAGAGGTGTAGAGTAATTCTTTGCTCTCCTGTGGCTACAAAGATCCCAGGGCACTTTTCACATCAGTAGGGTTATTCTTAGATTCTGCTAAACTCTGGCTGTCATACAGTTACAGGAGACAGAGGCAAAAGTTAAAATAAGAGGCTCAGGCTGGATAAAACAAACACCTTTTTCACTATAAGGACAGTGAAGCAGTGGAACAGTCTCCATCTATCCTGGGAAGTTTTCAAATCAGACTGGATAATGCCTTCAGTAACTCAGTCTGACTTCCTGTCTGAGCCTGTTTTGAAGAGGAGTCATCCAGAAAGGGTCCTTTCCAATCTAATTTGTCCCATATGGTCCCAGTTTGGAAACAGCACATTCATATCCACATATATATTTGCTCCTCTGGTGTTTTGGTGTCAAAAACCTGTCAGGCTTGGTGCTCTGTAGTAGTAAACGTGTGTACTTCTTTGAAAGCAAAGCAGTGGGAGATCCCAAGTCAGAATACAATTTAATAGGAAAATTAAAATGAATGCAATCATACAGAAACCCTTCCAGAGTCAGAATACAACCTGACACCCTCTTTGTTGGGGTGTTGGTAGCAGTCCCATTAAACGGTGGCTGCAGTAATCCTGGAGTGACAGATGTGCTTCTGGTGAGGCAATGATCCTGTAGAAGGGTGTAGTTTTCCTCTGAAGATCCAGTGGTGATGCAGATGGCTCCAGTCTTCCTCTGGGAATCCGGTGGGGAAAGGCTGACTGCAGTGTTCTCAGTCTCAGATTATATCCAGGTAGGAATGCTTGGCTCCTCCCCCTGGGTGGAGCATCCCACAATGGGATGATGGAATTTTATCAGTCCTGCAGTGAGACTCAATGGCTCATTCACAGAAAATATCCCCCTGGAGGGAGCATGGGTCATGGAAGAGATAGAGAACACTGCCACATCTGGTTTTAACAGTTTATGAAGATGGTGATAGAATACATACTTTTGGGTACATTTTACCTCATAACCTATTTTGAACACTGCCAAAATTTTGCTGAGCACTTCCTATTTCCCCCTTTTCCTGGAAGTTGAGACCGTGGAGAGCAGGTCTACACACCTGAGCACGCTGGTGCAGGAGGCCCAGCAGAGAGTGGCGGAATTGTCTGCGCAAGCAGCGAGTGAAGGGCTGGGCATGGAGAGCACCGAGAGGGAAAAGCAGCTCAAGGGCTGGGAGTGGAGGGCCAGGCTCTACCAGCGCATGAAGGCCGGCTACGAGCATGCCCGTGAGTATGTTGCCTTTTTCTCAACCTGGAAATGAAACTCAAGGTAATTTTGGTAAGGAGGCAAAAGAAGAGGATGTTTATTTGAAGGCCTTTGGGGGCAGTTATGGAAAGATGTCCACAAAAGCCCATCCCTACAGGGATTAATACATTTTTATAGGTTTTAGGAAATTAACATAATGGATAAAAAACACCAATTAGGACAACAAAGGATGCAATTCCCCCCCAGGTCAAGCCCCTTCTCTGGAGTTCCCCCATCGGCACTAGCTGTGCTCTGCCCAAGAAAATATATCTTGGAACATTGTTCTCAACCTTGGTTCTCAGGAAGAAGAAAGATAGTGCTGGGTCTCTGCACCCCCCAGAGCTCTGGAATTTGAGCTCTGGAATTGGTTTTGTCTTTCTGCTTAAGGAAGGGCTCTGGAAAAGTACTGGGAAAACTACTGACACAATAGGCTACAGAGCTACAGATAGGTGTGTGAAGAATACAGAGAACATATAAAAGGAAAAAAGGCAAAAACAAAAAGGCATCAAGTACAGGGAAACAGCAGAATTCCAGGCAGGAATCTGCAGCTGAGAACCCTCTCCAAAGATGCTGATTCTCACAGCACTGCTGTGGAGCAGGAGGGGGTTGGAATGGGGAAACTGAGGCGCAAAGGTGAAATGGCTTTTCCAAGAGGGAGAAGGAAATGGGTGTTAGAACAATCTGAGAGCAACAAGGACAGCTCCTTAGACTGCATAAAATTAATAAGACATCCAACATCTCAGTTCTTTGTTCAGGATGTAATGATTGTGCCCTGCTTATCTCTATTCCTGGATCTAATCATTTAACATGTTTAGAATTTGAAACAGGATGCTGTAAAACAACGTATGAATAGGCAGGAAGAGGGATGGGGACATTGGCCTTTTCTCTGGTGTAATTTGATTATTTTTCAAAAGAACTTACTATTTTGGAATGGGATCGTTCTAAATACTTGATCAGGCTGTGAAATTTTATTTTGCACCTAAGTATTTCGAAAATTTAACCTTAATTTTGGTAAGCACTAATCTTAATCTTGGTATCCATTTCATCACCACAGCCACAAAGTGAGTCACTTTAAACAGCTGTACAAGAGAATCTGTATCCAAATTAAACGGGAATTTGGGCCCAAATGAAGGACTAAACAGGCCTGAATTTTTTTGTGGATCTTTTAGCTCTAGCCTATGTGATGAAATACAATCATTGCTATTAACATTTTTACAACTATCTTTATATAAATGTACTTACAAATAATTTTCTCAAATTTATTGTATGCTAAGGTTATTTCTTCAACACATGTAGTGCTCCTTCTCTTGGATACTAAATACAGGAAATACAAATGTAGAGAAAGTTAATATACTGATTTTTTAATCAATCCCAGCAGTAAGTCATGACATTTTGTGTTTGATTTCTGAATTGAGTCTGATTGATAATTCTGTAAATTAAGCTTTTTTTTCTCCTTTTCTTTTTTTAAACAAAAATATTAGGCCTCAATTGACAGCTGTATTTTGGAACTATTACACTGAAAGAAGTGTGGAAGTCGCAATTTTTGAATCCAAATAACATAAAAACATTTTCTGTTTTTCGATAAATTTGAGTTTGTTAGTGAAGCCATAAAGGTTTCATTAGCTCTTTGTGGTTTTTTTCCTTTCTCTCTCCTATTCACCCAAAGAGATTCATAGGGTCTTTTCATTGACATAATTAGCATGAATCTGTTTTATTGGGTTACATATATGCAGGAAGATATTTTTAACCAAATAGGAGCCAAAAAACAAGATGGAAACAAATGGTGTCTGCAGGATATTGTTAGCAGGGGCACTAATTAAAATGCTCAAAAGGCAGAAAACACAAACACCTACAACCCAAAGCTCACAATTGCAGGGTGATTTTCAGTGGGTTCTTTGAAGGCACAGGAACATTGTTTGAATAGGATTTGTTGTGCTGAAGAGCTGATGTTTTCTCTTCTCTCCCAGGAGCCCCCGAGGCGCCAACCAACGTCTGTCTCATGGTAACGAGCAGTACATCACTCACTGTCACCTTCCAAGAACCCCTCAGTGTCAACTCAGCTGTGGTGACCAAGTATAAAGGTATTGGATTTAGACATCTTTCAGTCCCCTTAACAATGTACAAAATTTTGAGGGCTAAGTGGCCAAGGTATTTATCTACAACAGATTATATTATGACGCAATTTAAATGTAATTATTTTCCCAGTAAACAGACATAGAAGTGGAATTTTCTTGAAAGATTATCCAAGGATAAAATTTTTATTAAAAAAAAAAAGAAAAATAACAAAAAAAATTAACGAAAAGTTTTCTCCATGAGTGCTTTGAAGAAGTTTGCTTGACTCACTGTGGTTAAGACATCAGCTCAATGACTGGGTTGAGATGAGCAGTTACAAAACACAAACTAACTTTTGGTGCCTGTGGGATCCTGAAACCATGTGTATCCTTGTAAAAGCCAAACCCACACCACCATTCCTTAAAGGAATGCCTCTGGAAGCTGAAACTTCTGGCAGAGGCATCATACAGCCCAATTAATTAGCTATTCCAGGGTTGCCACATCATTCTTGGAAGAGTGATACATTTGGGGTGGCACCAGTTAGCTGCAAAGTGCAATGAATAAGAAAATGCTTTCATCTGAATAGCCCTGTTGAATAGAGATGGTTTTAAAACAGGATTTCTGTTCCACAGGAAATTCCAACATTAAGAAAAAAAAGCAAGTTTTATTGAAGATTAGAACAAAAATGAGAATTTTTAAAATTTCCTGTTTAAAGGAACTTTCAGGTTTTCTACAATCTTTGGAACAGTAAGTTCTTCAGTATTAAGCACAGCAATCCACAGCCTCCAGCTTCCAGTGGGAACATGAATCCTCCCATGGGCCAAGAGATTGGGGATCTGAAGCCTCCTTGGTCCTGCCCAGGGGAGTCAAGGAGTGGGGGCCTGAAAATCTTCTCAGCTATTTCCCCCAGTTTCTCCCTTCATGCTTCCTGCTGTGTTTGTTTCTTTGTATTAATCACTGAGAACTCCTTTCCGAGGTGCCTAAACCTAAAATTTCCATGATCACATCCAGAACCCTCCTGGCTGTGTGGTGGGGAGTCTGATCTGTGTTTCCATGGGTGTGTGTCCCAGAGATGGTTCCAGCAGGAGAGGTTCAGGAGAACCCTGTCCCTCAAGGGTCCAGCAGCTCCTGGAGCCCTTCCAAAGGTGGGACATGCAGTGCACAGGCTCCACTGGCATCAGCACAAGCTCCCAAAGCACTGCAGAAGCTTATTTTGGAAAAGGAACGTTCTTTCTTTCCCCCTCCTGCTTCTGGTCACAGAATCCACTCATCACTGGCTGTGCCCAGCAAAATAGTTTTTTACATTCTATGAAAAAACCCAAGCTCCCAGACACCACTGAGACCATCAAAGTGATAATGCCCTGATAGCCTCAGTAGAAGGAAAATTACTGTATTACACCAAGTCAGCTGTGCAGTGCTGCAGGAAGTGTGATTTTCAAAAACATCAAAGCCCTTTAGAAGCCTAAATCTAATTTTCAGCAATGGGTTGTGTTGCCAGGAAACTAAATTTCGTTTAAGAGCTTCCCACTGCCTGATTTACTTGTGAAAACAATGCTTGGGCTCCTAAAACACCAAAGTTCTCTAGCAAATATCAGACAGTTCTTCCTAATAGTTGTATTTTAAATAACTCTGAAACATTGTCCACCCCCTAATTATAATGATTCTTGGTATTTTCACTGGAAAAAAACAACCAAACAGAGCTATTTTTTAAAAATAATTTTCTGAAGGTTGCAGTACTTTTCTCTTGGGTATTCATTTGGGCTGAGCCTGGTTTGTACCATGTCAGTGGTGTCCTGTTTTTGATAAACACAGCATTCAAAGAAATTTAATCCAACCTGACCTAACTTTCTGATCAGACCAGGTAGCACTGCCCTGTATTCTGAACTACCTTCACTTGGGATCATTTTATGTTTTATCAAGTTGACAGTTAGTCTTGCCAGAATATTCTTTTTAAATCCTTTGTCCCAGGAGACTTGCATATTTACGGTTAGATAAAAAGAAAGATCATTAATAGCTCCTTTTGGTGACTTTCAGGAATTAATTAAGCACTGTTTGTAGAATTGTTTATTACATTATGGAGTGAGATTCTTTGTGCTACTTTGAGGGGTCATAAAATGAACCTTTCAAATGATCACTTGCAAGAATGATTAGAACCAGCTAGCAATTACCAGCCCTGAAAGGAGAGCTTGATAACAAAGTGTGAGGATCTTTTTAGTCAGATATATAAACCTCCTGTCCAGAAAATCATCAAAGAATTTTGCTAATTCAGGAACAAAACAAAACCAAAAAAAATAGAAAAAAGGCTGCTAAGGTGTTTGGTTTTTTCCCCTCAATACTTTACTATTTCTCTTTCTAAGCAAATTAAAATTCAGGAGCATTTGCAATTGTGTTTAGGGAATACCTACTCATTAACAGAAACTAACAATGTTCTTTTCTCTGGATCTGAACTGTAGGGAATAAAAACTGACATCAATTTTGTTCAGTTTAGTTTAGTTCCCTAAAAACAATGAAAAACTTCCAATTCCATTTTTCCCATGTCATCTTTCTTTTTTTCTTTTTTTTTTTTCTTTTTTTTTAATATATTTTTTCCAAAGCTTTATTTGCCCAAATGCCTTTTAGAAACTGAGCTTGGAACATTACCTAACTGTCTGCTGTTTTCCTGTGTGTGATCTTTTCCCTTGTTAGCTGTATAACTTACAAATAATCATACAGGAGAATAATACTTTGCACTCACTCTCTAACCACTAAAACCATCTCACTTCATTAGGAGATTTAATTTTAACCACACACGGTGAATGGGTATTGACTTTGGTGTCCCAGCTGGATGGCAGCTCAGTGGCTGCATTCTGTTCAGCCATTGCTTTAAGGAGCCAGAGTATTCTTTACTTCCTTTCCTGGATTGTTGTTTAATGTTGCAGGCACCATCCTAATGGCTCCCTTCAGTTTCCCTCTGGAGAAGGCTGCAGTGTGGTGGTGGCTGACATGAAATGATTCCTAAGTATATTGTAACTTAGTAAAGTGTTTTGAGGCTGGAAGCAGACAGGCATGACATAAATCAATAATAAAAGTAATAATCTGCTCCATGCTAGAGAAAGATTCAAAGCCAGAGACACCTCACCCCAGCCAGTTTTAGGAAGGATGTGAAGCATCACTGTAATATTGAGGAAAAAAAAAACCCTGCCCCTGGCTAATTGTGCCCTAGAACCAAACCTCACATCCCACTGTGGAAGTACTTAGGACCTGCTTTAGTTTTACATCTTTGAAAACGCAATCAAAACGTTCCACGTTTACACACAAAACAACTTGCCACAGTTGGAAGCCAGGGAGAGCTTTCTGTTTGAACCAGCACACTGGTACTGCAGGATGTTTTGTTATCCCAGAGCTACACCACTGCAAGCATCTCGATGAACAATTCCCCAGAGCAGCATAACCCAGACAGACAGCACTCAGCTCCCAGGAACATCCCACTAGGGACCAGCAGCAAGTGCTGCAAAGCTTTTTTTCAGAGATGTTCTTTTTCACTAACCTGCCTTTCTAGTGTCCACATGTTCCCCACAACACATACACATGAATAGAGTAGGTTTTTTCAAAAGAAAAAAATTAGTAGTAATATTAAGTAATTTTGTCTTACTTTTTTTTTTTTTCCTGTGGATTTAAAACCTGCTTATTATTTTGCTTTTACAGTGAATAAGTACAGATAAACTTCCTCTTACTGCATGATTTTTTTCATCCATTTATCATCAGAAGTAGCCATAATAATGCTGTGATCCCAAAGTATAGAATAAGGAAGAAAAATGGACATAGTGCTGATCACTACCTACTGGAAAGGATCACCATGCAATGAAAAATCTCTGTTTATATTTTATTTACAATTTTTAAACAAACATCTATATTCCCTTTTGAAGAAAAAAAATGAAACAGCTTGTATAACCCAAGTTGAGCTAATTTATTTTAGAGCCTGGAACTATTTATGTTTGAAGAGAGAAGAAGAAAGACATGTTTGATGTAGCAAAAGCTAATCTTCTCTGTTTGGTTGTAGCTGTGGATGCCAAGTTATTTCCCAGATAGTGATGCTGAGCTGTCTAGGCCACTTTAGCCCTTTTTACCTTCTTGTTTAGTTTGGTATTTTAGGAGAATATTTGATGTTTGTCAGAACTTCCCAGCTGCCTTCCAGGATTTCTTCTGGATGGAGAGAAGATTTTTAATTTCAGTCAGCGTAGCTCTTTAAAACACAAAACAAAACAAAACAAAACAAAACAGGTTGGCTTAGATCAGGAAAGAAGGAGTTATGTTTTGCTTAAATTTTGAGAAAAGGTCATTCCCTGACTCCCTTCTTCCAAAACACTTTGTGGTCCATTTCAGAATTTTTTTTGAATGAGAATAATTGTAATTGTCTTTGAGTCACTGTTTCAGTCCTGGCTGGACATGCAGTGGATCCAGGATATTGCTGTCATACAGCTGCATGAAATGGGTCCCAGTCCAGAACAGCACAGCAGAATTTGCTGTTGTCATTGGGAGTCTCAGCTAAAGGATGGGTGGAGCTGCCTTTGCACCAGGGTCAGCACCTGTGCTCAGGAATGAGGAGCCAGGGGCTGTTTGAGACCTGTTCAAAAGAAACCTGGATCTGAGATTCTCAGCTGGCTTCTCTCCAGGTCAATGGAAAATTTATGTTAAAGATTCCAGTGTGAAAAAACTCCAAAACTTCACAGGAGTGATCTGTACATTTTGATTGTGATTCTGCATGTTCTGTTCTTGGGGGTATTCCTTTCACAAATAATCTCATCATCTTGTGTGGGCTTCTGCTTGTCCCCATGGGCACATCAAAAATTGGCCTTCTATATTTGACCAAGTCTGGATTTGTTCCATAGCAGGTTCCCTGCAGTGATCCTCAAAGACCTAAATATTCAGATATATCACTATATTTCTATATAGATACCTATGTATCTTTCTCCATTTTGGTGGCAACTGTCTGCTCACACAGCAGTGTCAGAGTGGAAAGCTGCAAGCCTGTGCTTTCTTTGACTTCTAG